GGACTTTTAATGCTGTAGCCGTCAGTATGGATTACACCTCAACACAAAGAAAACAAAAATCCTCACAACTGGCCCAATAAGCAACATCATGATAAATGGAGAAAATATTGAAGTTGTCAAGGATTTCATTTTACTTGGATCCACAATCAACACCCATGGAAGCAGCAGTCAAGAAATCAAATGATGTATTACGTTGGACAAATTTGGTGTAAAAGACCCCTTTAAAGTGTTAAAAAGCAAACATGTCACTTTGAGGACTAAGGTGTGCCTGACCCAAGCCGTGGTATTTTCATTCACCTCATATGCATGTGAAAACTGGACAGTAAATAAGGAAGACTGAAGAAGAGTTGACACCTTTGAATTATGGTGTTGGCAGAGAATATTGAATATACCATGAACTGCCAGAAGAATGAACAGATCTGTCTTGGAAGAAGTACAGCCAGAATGCTCCTTAGAAGCAAGGATGGCAAGACTTCGTCTCACATGCTTTGGACATGTTATCAGGAGGGACCAGTTCCTGGAGAAGGACATCGTGCTTGGTGAAGTAGGGTCAGCGAAAAGAGGAAGGCCCTCAAAGAGATGGGATGACACAGTTGCTACAACAGTGGGCTCAAGCAGATGAAGCAGATACTTAAATAAGTTGAAAAATACCATAGTGGGTCAGCTTACATTAGCTGTCCCACGTGCATCTTCTCATTGATTCAGAGTTCACAGCCATCCTGAAAGTTTCATTATCTTTAGTCATCTAAAAAGGCAAAATATTTTTCAGTGTTTCTGTCTAATATGTCAGCGAAGTAAAGTAATACATTACAGAAGAATACCATACAAGAGAATTAGTTTGGATTCAAAAGGTAGATGTTCAACTGTGATGGCCAGAAGAGCACATTGTGTTTAGTTAATGATTGTTAAATTACAAAACTCCATAAAATCTTTAGATGTTTGAGGGTTCCATCTATTTGTATTTTCAGCTAAAACCCTTAGGATCATTTTTTAAAACTCTGAAAGTTTGAGTTATCCATTTGCTTCATTTGGCCAAGAGTACTGTCCTTTGCTTAACTGTATTTAGCTGTTACACTTAATTTTCGATGTCTTGTTTTTCCATTTCCCTGTGGCTTACGCTGCAGTTTAGATTATTAAAGCATTTTTTACTAAGTAGTGTTTATCTGTTTTTTAGGTTCCTAGAAGCCAAACCAAACTGACAATAATGCTTGAAAAACTAGGAATGAATTACGACGGGAGGCCTCACAGCGGACTCGATGACTCTAAGAACATTGCTCGAATTGCAGTTCGAATGCTTCAGGATGGCTGTGAACTCCGAGTCAACGAGAAAATGCATTCTGGACAGCTAATGAGTGTGTGCACTTCCTCACCAATAGAGGGCACTCCAGCTCCGCAAATGCCACATTTTAGAAAGTAACATCTAGCATTTTTGTCCGTGAATCATTCATTCTAACTGGAGTTACTACAAAGAGGTAGCAGCTGAGTACTCATTGAATTAGTCCTGCAGTGCAAAATGCAAGCACCTGAAAATTTAAGATCTTATTGCAGTTACAGATGTGGCTAATTGTATTTGTGTACATGAACAGATTTTGTGGGGAGGGCGTATTGAATTGTCACCAGCACTTTCGATACGAGCAGTATTTGTTACACAGTAACAGTTCCTGCTTAGAACTGAATTTTATAATTTAAGGTATCCGGGATGTATTCCTTTTAGTTTTAAATGCAGAGTTTTATTGGCTCACCCCTTGACCGTTAATGTCTTACTGAAGTTAAAATATATAATACATCTCTACGTTAACATCATTAGATCACGTCATTTCTTAAAGTGCAGACAAGATTGGAAGGCAGGCCTTATCTAGCCTGTGGCTTTTAAGAATATCATAGTCCTTTTGATTTTTGAAGTTTGTGTGTGATATTCAGCTGTATGTGGTGTGCTGGGTACACATACCTGCCTGTGTTTCTTTTCAACTCATAATTCGAAGACTGGTGATACATTATAGATTCTGGTTAATAATTCAGTTACTCATGAAATTAATGAAAAGTCAGAAGAAAATTTAAAGGAATATGATGGGGCTGTAGTGGTGCAGTGGTTAAGCACTTGGCTGCTAACCGAAAGGTCAGCAGTTTAAACCCACCAGCCACTCTGTGGGATAAAGACGTGGCAGTCTGTTTCCAAAAAGATTACAGCCTTGGAAACCCTATAGAGCAGTTCTACTCTGTCCTGTAGGGTCTCTATGAGCCAAATCGATGGGACAGCAGCTGGTTATTTTTATTTTGATTTTAATAGCTTGAACTTTAAAATACATAGATAAAATCAGTGGATTTTTTTGGATTTTTTTGTTGTTGTTGTTATTGTTCCCCTCCCTCTTGTTACACACATCTGCCCCTAATTCTTACATCTAAGAGACCGTGCTTTAAAATAGACTTAAAATTAAGGATCACCAGTTAATTTTGCATCTGTATTCAACATCAGTGAGGTTAATAAGTCAAATAATGCTTTCTGCCATAGCTTCTGTTTTGATTATTAAGAATAAAGGTACTCTTGGTCATCAGTGGAGTTAGTCAATAAATGTTTGCTTTACCTGATTGTACACAGCGAGTGACCACTACATGTTAACTAGTAGGTTTCTAGCTAAGTCTAGAAAACAAACATGTTTACAGATCTTGATGAAGTAAAACATTTCTTGCCTAGAAGCTAAAAATTGGTATTTTCAGGATTGATTTCCCCCTGTAGCTTCCATGGAACAATTTCATTGACATTGCTTACTTCTTTTCTTTTATCTTCTAATAATAATTGTGATGCTGCTTTATGTTCATGATTTCTATATTATAATCAGATGAATCCTAGGGTTTTTCTAACGCTGATACATAGGAGAATAGTGGGAAAGTAGGTGTTTTTCTTGGCATGAGAATTCTCTACACAGTACTGTAGGGTTTCTTACATGTCTGCCTTTGGTCCGTAGTCATAGACTCCTCATAGTAAAGAATAACGTGCATGACAGAAGGCGCAAGACTATGTACTGTTCTTAGAAAAACTGATACGAGTTCTATTAAAACAATGAAAATCTAGGTATTTTAGATGTATGCAGTAATCTCTTGATGGCATGAGAGGGATATATATTCGGATTTTTGTGAATCCCAAATAGCACTATGTAATGTACTGTAAAGTAGTACTGAAAAGTTTTAAAACTTCAAGTCTTTAGTTACTGTGTCAGGCCAGAGGAAGAGAGGAGAAGCAGATGACAGGTGAGGTAGGCACACTCCTGAGGTGCTTTTCCCACACACAGCCACCTTGCATTATGATTCAGGTTTATGCCTTAGCAGAATTGTAGTTACCTGTCATCTGCTTCCAGATTTGCTCATGAGTACATCAGTAGTTGAAACAGCAATTGTGAAATCAGGGAATAACAAGGGAATATTACATTGAGTTCCTCCTTCCTGTTTTGTATTGTCTTGAAGTCAAGCTGCTGATTTCTTTGTAGAAAACCCTGTGGAGCAGTTGTACCCTGCACACATGGGGTCGCCATGAGTTGGAATCTACTCAGCGGTTAACTAACAGCAAGTTTTCTTTTTGCCAAGTACTGACAAGTTCACTTTGTATTTCTGTTTAAGACCTTCAACGTTATAAGCTCTCCGAACCTGTTGGCTCAAGCTAATATTTTATCTGGTGACACTGTATTCTCCTAACTCATTTTCAATCACTCTGTAAGTCTCTGCCGTCCTCCCCACTTTGATTTGGGATTTTGCTGAGACCAGCCAGGACTGTTTCGATGTGATGATCTTAAACATCAGGAGTACTGCTCTCTACTCTGATTTTCATTGTGTTTTATTGCTTTTGTGACATATAGTACCGATAATTTTTGCAAGGAAAAAGCTTAGACAAATGCCATTCTAATACAGTGAAACCTGTGAAACCTGGAACCTGTGTAAGGTAGAAACCTGTCAGAGAAGGAAAACTCAAATATTTTCTACCAAACTGAGCAAAGCGATAGAAAAGTTGTTTAAGACTGCGCTCTACCAAAGGTGGAAAACTTGCGAGACCTGGAAAAACAAGGCAGTCCTGTGAACCCTGGCTCTCATAGTTTTCACCATATTCTAATTAAGACAACATTAGTAACATTTTATTCTTGTGAATTTTTATAAATAACACTTTTTTTCCTAATCATCAGCTATGTTAATATCCTTTTTTTCCTACTTTTCATTTGTGCTGATATATTGTGGTTCTGCTGTATTATTTCAAGTCCAGTCTTTTAGAACCAGTAAGATATATACCAGAGTACTGTATTTTGTTCTTTTTTTGTCTGTTTTGTGTTGTTTTAGGCAAAATATTTAAAACATTTGCTCTGAAAAGATTTTTTTCCGGAGTGTCTTTTTTGCCTAAAGATGGACCTATTGTTTAACCAGCCTTAGGGACAGGTTTCCCTCTCCATAGGAATCACTAATATGCTACTGATTAAAAGAGTTGGTGTGTCTGACGACTAGTTTAAATAGTCTCTTTTTTTTAAGATGGGACCTGTTTACTTGCCCTTTGTAATACATCATCCTGAATCTTACCCCAAAAGTGGTAATGCAAGACACAATAATGTGGAGGAAAGGGTAAGAATGGGGGGGGGAAAAAAAACACCCGTTCCCATGGAGTCGATTCTAACTCATAAGCGACCATATAGGACAAAGTTAAAGCGCCCCATAGGGTTTCCAAGGAGTACTGGTGGATTCGAACTGCCGACCTTTTGGTTAGCCACCAGGGCTGGAAAAGGTAAAATTACTGGGGAGGGGAGGAAGCATGGATGGTCAAGATAATGCATGTTTGGCTTAAGCTGTAGGTAGGACCTCCAAAGAAGCTAACTGCCTCCCCTGTGAACATGACTGGATGCGTTATAACAGTCTGACAGGATATGTTGTATTTCAAAGGAAGAAGTTTCCAAGCTACTGTTGAGAAACACAAGGGACAGTGACTTCTACTTCTTTAATTCCAACAGTGTGTGATAAAATGTTTTTTACTTAGTTGAATCCAGTGTTAATAAATGAATGGCAGCATTAAGTATCTTTTTATTTTTTTTTCTTAGAAGGTTCCTTGGTACCATTAACCTGTATTTCAGATCTCTCCTTCTCCACAAAGCTTCCAAAGCCCATAAATGAGTTAATCTAGAGCAGGAGTCCATAAGCTATGACCTGTGGTCCAGATCTGGCCCGCTGCCTGCTTTTGTATGGCCTGCGAGCTAAAGGAGGTTTTTACATTTTTTAAATGTTGAGAAAAATAAAAAATATTTAATGACACATGCTAATTATATGGAATTAAATTTCACTTTCCATGAAGTTTTATCGGAACACAGCCACCATGTTCATTTGTTTACATATTAACTCATGGTTTCCTCCACCTCTTTTTAACACCATGTCCTTTGATTATTTTTTAGGCTCATCTTCATCTTAGTCTGCTTTTATGCCGGCCATACAAAACCAAAAAACCAAACCCGTTGCTGTCAAGTCAATTCTGACTCATGGTGACCCTACAGCAACCCTATAGGACCGAGTAGAACTGCCCCATAGGGTTTCCAAGGCTGTACTCTTTCAGAAAGCAGACTCCCACATTTGTGGAGTGACTGTTAGGTTTGAACTATGAACCTTTTGGTTAGCAGCCAAGCGCTTTAACCACTCTGCCACCAGGGCTCCTTCTGGCCATGCAGACCATTGCTGAAATTGAACTAACTCTTTACCTGTATAGTGTCGTCATAAAAATCTACTTAATGTTGCTTTGTATGTTGATCTCAGAAACCTTCACATTCCTCACGGGTTAAAACTCAGCTCTCCTTTGGCACTTAAGTCTCTCCACAGCCTGGTTGTTAACTACCTTCCAGATTTTATAGCAGCCATATGCTCTGGGCTTATCACTGTTCCCTCACCGCCATACCTGCATCATACCTGCACCATCCTACTTCTGTCCCCCAAATTAGCCCATTAATTTTGTTCCCTTGATTCTGGTTTTAAAGACCCACTATGATTCCAGCCTTCTCGTTCCCAGTCCACCTTGGCCTTGAGCAGTAACTCCCTCTATTTGCTCATTGCACTTCCGTTGTATTCATTGGACCCTGAATTTGTGCTACACAGATTCAGAGTTTTTTTCCATTTCCCCAATGTGATAATAAACTCTTCAAGTTCAGGTTTTTACGCGTTGTATCTCCAGAGCTAAATCACAGTGGATATTCAGCTAAAAATACTTTGCCTGTTGCCATCGAGTTGATTCTGACTCATAGGGACACTCTAGGACAGAGGAGAACTGCCCTCATAGGGTTTCCAAGGCTGTAATCTTCACAGAAGCAGACTGCCATATCTTTCCCCTGCAGAGCAGCTGGTAGGTTGGAACTGCCAACCTCTGGTTAGCAGCCAAGCACTTAACCACTCTGTCACCAGGGCTCCTTTAAACATGCTTAGTGATGATAAAATATATTCTATAAGGTCGGTACCTTTTCCTGAAATTGCAATGGGTAGAGAGTGTCTTAACTATGATAAAGAAGGCATTGCTGCTTGGGCAGTGTTATAGGTAGGAGCTGTTACCTTGTCTGGTTATGATGTACCATATTCTTTGACTCATTTGCAGAAATACTTAATTCTGGTCTATGCTTGGATTAACCTCTAGGTGCCAGAGAAAGCAAACAAATGTTAAAGCTTTTCTTTCTAGTTGTTCAGTCTCTGCTTTACTGATAGGAAATCTACTCCCAACATCTTTGACCTTGAAGAAGGTCATTGCTTGCCTTTCCTGTCTAGAGCAGTGATGTCTTAGGGTTCTCTAGGAATCAGAACCAGTAAGATATCTCCATCTCCTTCTATCTGTCTTTCTGTCTCCCTACCTATCTATGTATCTATCATCTGTCTACCTCCTTACCTACCTGATTTTAAAGACTTGGCTCACGTGATTGTGGGGGCTGGCAAGTCCAAAATGACAGACTGGAGATCCCTGCAGTCTTGTTTTCCAAAATCCTAGATCAAGCGATGGGAAAAGTGGAGGAGTTCTGGAAAGATGTTTATAGTCTGGAGGCAGAATGCTTCCTAGGGAAGACTCTGTTTTTTGCTCTTAAATCCTTCAACTGATTAGATGAGGCCTGCCTCCATTATGGAGGGTAATCTCCTTTACTTAAGGCCAACTGATG